GCTGTCCAAATTCCTTATGCTGCCAGAAGAGCAATCTTCATTCTGTAACTCTGATTTATAATCTTAGTTTTTGGATCCTGCACCTTCAAAGATAGCACCCTAATTGCAAATCTGTCTTGTGGTGATTCACATACCTTTGTAAAATCCCGTTTCCTTTCAAAAATAAAAAGAGAAAAAAAGAAGTCTTGAGACATTTTGCAAAAAATATTTCAAAAGTTTTTTGGCTAACCCTTGTGATTATGCCATTGTATTTGACGTAGCCAAAGGACAAAGATGGCATTACACAAATGTCTGAAACCTGGGAGAGGCTTTCAGCTCTATTGCAGGTAGTTTGGAATCTGGAATAACTTGGAGTTAGAAAGTATCTGTGGATGTTTTCTGAAGACTTCTCATTTTGCACTTCCATAGATGAGCAAAATGCTAAGCTCCGAGTCATTCTTTCATTTGTTTTCCAGATGATGAAGGTTCAGCAATTCTTCAGAAAGCGGAGGTAGAAATTATTGACCAAACATTATGTCATTCCACATATGGGATTATCACAGCTAGGATGTTTTGTGCTGGACTAATGTCTGGGAAAAGAGATGGATGCAAAGTATGTATCTTAGCCCACTTTGCATAGAGTTTACCTTGTCTTTTATTGTTGTATGATGAGGTGTAAGAATTGACTTGCAGATGACTTTATAGTCCATGCCATTTCAGTTCTGAAAAACAGCAATGTAAGAGTTCTCCATCACCAAATCTGTCATCGGGGTGTTTTCAGAGTTTCGTTGTTTCATGTGCGTGACTTTCATCATCAAGTTTAATGTTGCAGCCCAATGGCTTATTGATTTGCAAGTCCCAATAACAAGTTGAAGTCAGGAAATTTTTGGCATAAGTCTCTCAGTTGAAATAAATATTGAGATACTAGCTTGTCTCTTTTCAAGACCTCTCCCTCGTTACTTGGAACTACAGGGCTATCTGATGAGATGCAGACAGCTAGGCATAAATTTTCAAATACATAATATTTCTTATCTAGAAATGCTGAAAGATGATAAACATTGTTAAAACAAATTGAAAAGCAGACTTCTGTTTTCTGAAAAATGCTAGAGTTCCACTTCTCTTTTCTCCCAGGAATTAAAGAAAAAAGTTGAAAATCTGACCTTATAAATGCAAAATCTTATTTACTAAGGAAGGAAAAAAATATTTTGTAAGTTAAATATCTAAAAATTTTGTGAGGCAATTTAAGATAATCTTACTCTGAGCAGCAGGTAGTTTTACTAGATCATCTGCTGATGTCCCTTCCAACCTGCATATCCTACGTCCTATAAAGCTGAAGCAAAATAGTTTTCTAGCTCTAACAAAATATATGCCTAGAAGGAAGGCACTTCTTTTGCAAAACATTTAAATTTTACAAACTCATCTTTTGCTTTTGGAAATCCTTTCTTGCATGCAATGTTCTGACAAGTTTTTATTTGTAACTAGCTATCTTTTTCAGAGATGTTGTGTGTACAGCAGAGTCTGGTATAAGGAAAGTATAAGCTTGGTCCAAGAAGTTTTCACCCAATAGTAGCACTTTTTTTTCCTGAACCTCTGCCAATATATTTCTACAAGAATATCCTATAAAGGAAGACCACTGTTTTCTTTGTTTTGCATTATGGAATATGCCACCCTGTATAAAACTTTGAAGTCTATAACAGATTTCATTTTAAGTGCTGTAATTACAAGGACATTATGTGCCCTTAAACGTTACATGCTGGCTTGTATCTACTAGAGGATGACACTGAGGTGTTTTTTTCCTTCTTAATAAAAGAAACCAAATCAATTGATGGATTCAATCTGTTTGTTTACCTTTAATTTGTAACAAGTTATATCATTGTTAGATATTGTATTTTATTTTAAAATTTTCTTTAAAAAAGTGTAGTATTTTTTGGAGTCGTTAAATGTGTAACCTATAAACAAACATAGTAAGTTAGCAGATTTTAGGTTTAGCTGTAACTCTGAGGATAGGAAATGGTCTGAATTTCAAATCCAGTTCATAGAAAGTAATATCTTTATTACTCTTACTCTTCAGAGTAAGAGCCAGCCCTCTTTCCTATGAAAGAGCAAACTTTGGTACAACTGCATAATACCGTCTGCTTCAAGGAAAAAAAAAAAAAAGCACCTTACAGAATATCCAATGGCTTATACTATGTGAATGGGAAAATAAATTGTTGGAATTACTTGGGCAAATATCTCCTGTGGAAATTTGTCTCAGTTTTAATAATCTAAATTATAAATGCATACAACTCAATATATTCTTTTTAGGGTGATTCCGGTGGACCATTGTCATGCCAAAGCAATGGAGACGGAAAATGGTTTCTGACTGGCATTGTTAGCTGGGGTTATGGATGTGGAAGACCAAATTTCCCAGGTGTCTACACAAGAGTGTCAAATTTTGCACCATGGATTTACAAATATGTGCCTTCAGTCTTGTAACCTGAAAAATGTTTTCCTAGAATAAAACATGTCCTGGATATCTTCATTAAAAATCATATTTGTTAAAACTGTTCAGTGGTGAATTTTCTTTGGGTGTCTCCCTGCTGATTCTGGAGTACAGATATGAAAGTAACAAATATCCTTTGGTCAAACAGTGGGGGAACAAGAAATGACTGTTCCTTGTGGTGGTGGTTCTAAGCAGATATCTGGAGACACAGGAGAACTCAAATAATATAATTCTGGGACTTTGTGTTTGTTTTCCAGGCACCAACTAAGTGCATGTGCAATCATTTATCAGGAAGCTGAAGACTGAATTGACCACCTACAGACAGTTTAAGTCTTAGTCATTTCATCTGAGATGTGTATGGCCTAATACAGTAGTAACTGTGAAGTAACAATTAATTGTTAGTACTCTTGCAAATGTTGCTTTTCCTACCTTCTCCCTCAAGAACAGCTGAGACAGAAGAGGATGGGGTAGAAGAGAGAGAAGAGGGGCAGAAAGTGAACTCAATCCTCTTGAGTCCATAGGGCCCACATTTTTAGAGATCAGAAGTTCTGTGGTTAAGCACACACTCCCAGGCAAAGGTGTGTCTGGAAAGCTGCCTGGCAGAAAAGGACCTGAGGGGGCTGGTGGGGACCTCTGGCTGGACACGAGCCAGCAGTGTGCCCAGGTGGCCAAGAAGGCCAACAGCATCCTGGCCTGTATCAGAATCAGTGTGGCCGGCAGGAGTAGGGAAGTGACCGTTCCCCTGTAGTCGGCACTGGTGAGGCCACAGCTTGAGTACTGGGTTCAGTGTTGGACACCACTGTAGCGACACTACAGGGAGACACTGAGGTGCTGGAGCAGGTCCAGAGAACGACAATAAAGCTGATGAAGGGTCTGGGGAACACGTGTTATGAGGAGTGGCTGAGGGAACTGGGATTGTTTAGCCTGGAGAAGAGAAGGCTGAGGGGAGACATTATTGCTCTCTACAACTACCTGAAAGGAGGCTGTAGTGAGATGAGTGTTGGTTTCTTCTCACAAGTAACTAGTAATAAGACAAGTTGAACCAAGGGAGGTTTATACTGGATATTAGGAAGAATTTATTTCCTGGAAGAGTGGTGAAGCATTGGAATGGGCTGCCCGGGGAGCTGGTGGAATCCCCATCCCTGGAGGTGTTAAAAAAAAATGTGTGGATGTGGTGCTTGAGGACATGGTTTAGTGGTCATGGTAGTGTTGGGTCGATCATTGGACTTGATGAACTTGGAGGTCTTTTCCAACCTTAATGATCCTATGATTTTATCATTTGGAGCAAGTAACTCTTTTATTTCCTTCATTCCTTTCCTCATATTCCATTACATCCACCTTTTAAATTCTTCATCTTTGGGCAACCTTAACAGATAAATAAACATGATGATCTGTGTTACTGCAATGATCTTGTCCTTGCTGAAATAAAACTGACATTTTGGCAATCCAAGAGGTGGTGCTATGGAATTAAATACATGGAATGGATATTAATTTTAAGAAGTCCTAATACAATTTTTCTAGATAAAGCAGAAGAGGCTTGGTTTCCTCCAGGCTTTTTTTTTGTGGTTTCTTTTCCATGAGGAAAGGGGCTAAGTATCAATCCATCAGCAGGCTCTGTGTAGCTGAGATACTTTCTCTTGGAAAAAAAAGAGGACTTGAACAAAGCAGTCTGGCTACAGCTGTAGTTTGCATTCCTGAGCTGTGATGATTGCCTTCCAATTAATCTCCTTTGTAGTCCCTGTGTGTGATGTGTTGGTGTATGTTTCTTCCCTTTTTTTTTTTCTGGGGTTACAGTTTCTTTGACCTGTTCTTGTTTTTCTAGGTTTCCCATCCTTTATGCGGCACTCTCATCCCTCTCACTAGCTCACTTCCTCACTCCCCTCCTCCCCCCCACCCCCATGTATATAATATTATATTTCCCTGCACACATCCTTGATTTTCTTATTTTACATGCAGAATACCCTGAGCTTGTTGGTTTGCTGACTTAAAACTGGTTTTACTTTCAAAATGGAAATATGAACGTGAATTGCTTTGTAATTTGATTTAATCTGTGGTACCAACTTGAGGCTGGAAAGTTCAAGTGGTTTGTGGAATTGTGCTTTTCTTCTGTCTTGTAAATATTTCTGTGGATTCCACCAGGTGCTCATTAGAAGTTGCCCTCTTTATCTTGCTCTGGGACTTTTATCTCTAGATCGCTCTTGTGTCCTTTGCATTATGTCATAAATCATCTCCTACTCTTGTATTTCTGAAAGAAGTAACTAATCTGTTTTCAGACGATGGGATCCATATCCTACTCAGCCAGTTAGGAAAACAAAGAGTTACAGTGATGGCAACTTTTCTTCCCCACCTTCTTTGGTTGCAGGTCAGCTGGCTCTAGCTTCAAGCAGTATGGCAAAGGTGCAATGAGAGAAGCCTGGTGTGTGTAGTAGAGAGAGAGAGAGAGAGAGAGAGCAGCACACTAGTCTGGGTTATGTTGAAGAAATGAAATTAATTTAGGGTTTTGCTATTAGATTTGTCAAAAGACATTTGTCAAGGCATCATGATACCGACTTTCCCCTCCAGCCGTGTTTCTGTGTACAGCATACCAGATCCATGCAACTCTGAGCAGACTGCAGGGCAGGTAAGAGACACCAGCTAAGTTTTATGGTAGGAATGCAGTGAATGATCTCTTTGCCCACTCTGGTGTGTATTCTTCACAGGAAAACTGCTCCTAACCAAAATGATAACAATTTTCTTCCCTGTTTACATAGCTTGAAATGCATGCAGCAAAGAAGTAGCCAGGAAATTACTGAGTTTCATGTGTGGCATAGCTCATAACATGAAAGATATTATTTTAATTTAAACCTCTTTAAAAATGAAAAGGGTAAATATTCTAAAGTATTGTACAATAGTTCTTCTTTTGTTGTCTTAATAATTGATGTTTTCCCATGTCTTTCTCTAGAAAAGTCCACATATTAACTGCTGCACATCCTACCAAGAAGGCTTGTGTCAGAAGTACTATTTCTTCAAGTGGATGAGGTTGTGTTTCTGGAGAAGGTGGCTTCTAGGAATATTACCTATAGTTTCTTTAATATTTACAGTAATCATGCTAGTCCTGAGCTATTCATTCTGTAAGTGTCATTCCCTAGCATAGTCTGGATGGGATGGGTATTTTGCACTGTGTGAAGGGCTCTGCACTAAGCATATGATGTGTTTATAAATTACTGACTTTCCCTTCTCCTTAACGTCTTTGCTAAAATAACAAAATTAGCCGTGGGTAGTTACACAAGAGTAATGAAGGTATGTATTTTAGCTCTAAGTTTTTTTTTTTGTCTCTGCGTGTGAATACCATCATTGTTATAACTGTTACCTTTCCCAAGAACCTCTAGGAATTAACTATCTTCTCTTCAATTTTTCAAAGCAGAATGGGTACCTAACTTACACGCACTCCTTCCCAGATCTCAATACATAGCCATTAAAACTGCATCTCTTCAGGAGAGCAGTACAGCAAAAAAGATGGAAGTTTAGCAATTAAAACTTCCTAGTAAAAATGCTTGTCTGAACCTGCACCTCGTTCTTCTCCTTTTCCTCTGGGCATTATTCTGCCAAGGGGACTCAGCACTATGGCTATAACTGCATGTTTCTCTTGAGAACTAACACTGACCAATTTTAGGGACAAATACACATTTCTGTAAGCCTTTGTTCAGTATTTTTTTTTGTAATGTTATTAGGTTTGCTAATATTTTAATGCTTTTTTTTTTCCCCCTCAGCTCCAGCTTTCTCCTCCATTTACATTGGTGGAAGTATAGAAATTTCTAATTTGACTTATACAGATGACCTCAATGATCCGCAATCACAGAAATTTCTCCTGCAAGCAGAAGTGATCCAAAATTATGTAAGTTCCCACTAAAGCATAGCAATAACTTTAAAATACTTATTACAGAATTAGACTGGAATGAGAAGACTCCAGTGAGTCACAATTTTTTTTCTCCTTCAAAATAATAAGTTTAAAGTTAGCAAGTGCCTCAGTGGTGTAAAGCTCTAGAAATGTAGCTAGACAGCTGAGGCTGTGTCTCTTGTTGTAGGCCAATGTTTTCTAGGTAATAAAACCTCAGGGTTTTTAGGTCACGGACAAATTATTCTTCTTACAGGAATTAGGAGTGTGGTTTTCGTTTTGTTTTACTTCACTCAAACACTCTTCCTTGTTCCATTTTTTTCCTGATTTTTTTTTTTTTAAATTATAACTCAAATCGAATAGTTTTTGTTTTGTTTTCCCTTATTCCCCACAACAATGCTTGCTTTCTTGCACTTCTTATGTGAGTTCCTATTTGTGAGATCAATACTGTTTCCTGGGTACATGGGAACAGCAGTAAACACAAAGCAGTTCTCTGTTAGCCAGTAGTTCCCAAAAGAGCTGATCTGGTGTCTCAAAGCTGCTTTGTGCACAGCCAATAAAAGTTGCTCATGTCCAGATTATATACTGGAAATTTATAGACTGAAACAAAATATATAAAGGTATTCATAAATCTTCTTTTCACAGCTAATTACCAAAAGTTGTCTCAATGGTCTTAAGTCACCTCAAATTTCAAAAGTAATTTTTTGTTACTGTGTTTTTTTAGTTGAAATGAATGCACATTTATGATGCTTATTTAATGCATTTTGTGAAAATGTTGGGTCATATGGGGGGGGTAAGGAGGAAAGAAGAAAAACTCAAATACTTTATAGCATGATACTGACACTAAAATGTTACACTTCATATTTTCTTTTACCATTATTTAATTGTCAGTTCACAGAAATATATGAGTCTTCCTCCTTGGGAAAGTACTACCTGAAGTCTGTAGTGGCTGCTTTCAGGTACATACTGTTCCAGAATACGGTATACAATTGAGATATTCAGTTGTGTTTGTCTTATCTTATTTTGTACATTTTTAATAAGTTACCTGGAAGAACACGCAGATGTCTGTAATAGGGATATAATAAATGCAGAAACACACTTAGGTATGTAAGCTAAGAGCTAAGTTGAACATGACCTGTCTTGCCTTGTAAAATCAGTGGCATAAAGTCTGATTAATTGTTCCTCGGTTTCTGGATTGCTTTATAGTCTATTCATTTACTTTTGATTTTTGAAATCACAGTTAAGCAGGTTTTGCCTCTACTGCTTGCAGAATCTTATTTTAATTTTGTCTATTTAAATGGTTCCTTTTTAAACTCTCAAAACAAAAATTAAATGTATCATTTGGGCAGGGCAGTCTATTTAAGCTCCTTAGGAGAAATGTAAACGCACTGAGCAGATGGCTACTACTAACCTGACAGGCTTTGGAAACTTCTGAAAGATCAGTCCGTAGGCCCTTTTGAAAGAATGTCTCTTTGAATTACTTAAGTAATACTTTGCGTGTGTTTACACCCAGTTTGTTTATTTCAAGAGTTGTATGAAATGTGTCAAAGTATGTGCATGAAAATATATTGTCATATAGCTAGCCTCAGTTTAAAATATTAAGGAAAATCTGTCTGGAGCTGTAATAGGATGTTAAAATTGTATAGTTATACAGCACGGATGGAAACATCAAAGTCCATCAAAATTATTGCAAGGATTTTCTGAGGTGTAGTTTTCAGTCTCAGTGTGTAACTGTTTAAGTGGCATATTTTCAAAGCATTCCTACCGTGTAGAGAAAGCAACTGTTAAAACTAGAGAGCTTTTTGCCACTGTGTTCAGCTGCAGCTCTGCACAGCAGTTCCGTTTCAACTGGCTATGAAACTGTGCAAGCCAAAAATGCAAACCAGTGGAAAGCATGTCCTAAGTTGTAATTAAAGTGTATTTATGAAGCTGTTTTTTAATTTCCACAGTGAAGGAGACTCTGGACTTCGAGCTTACTACTGGAATATGTTCTGGGCACCACAAGATATGGTTGCTTCTTTTAAAAAACCAACCCCAGTGCAACAAAAAGAAATAAGTAGTAAACAAGCAACTCATACATTCAGTTCTACAACTGAGGAAGATTTTGATCTTGTAACAATGGAGCTTTTTGGTAACAATGTACCTGTCATTTAATACCTATTTTGTCTATTTCTTTCTAGTTTGACTCTTTGGCTTGTGTGGCTGATGATAGTTATTAAATTTCAGTTTCAGATTCCACAGACTATGATGTGATGCTAAAATCAGGTAACATACTTTAATCTCAAATGATATTTCTTTGGGGAAATAAAGTGCTGTAAGAGAAAAATGGCAGTTTTCCACTTACTCTTGTACCTGTAGGGCCTACAAACCAAACTAGGCTAGACATCTTCTTGGCCTGTGTTCCAAATAAAGGCTGCTATTAAAATACCTTACAGCTTTTACCCTCATGTCTGACTAGAATGGTTGAAATTTAATAGTGCCCACTGACTTGCAATGAGCTGTGGCTCCTTTTGTTGGCATATTTTAAAAAGCTGCTATACCAAATTATACATAATTTGTTTGCCTAGTGACTAGATCATTTTGGTTATGCATGGTTAGTCATCAGTCAAATACTGTATAGCTTTCATTCACTTTGCCTGCCTGGTTTTCCCACATCACGCACACCTTAAGACTGACTCCATAGTGCTCTCATTGCATGGATAGGGGTGAAGAGAAAACGGCAAAGGAAGCAGTAGGTTTCAAGAAGAGGTGGTAGTTGCTGCAGCCGAGTCCCTTACTTCTTGCTGAGGGTGTGATGGGCTGTTGGTGGTGAAGCATCATGCTTCCTTAGCCAGAGCAGAGATTAAAACAGTCATGAAGCGTGGGTAGGTGATTGTTGCCACCTCTTCTGAAATTTTACCCGGTGACTTAATTTATCGTTAATTTTAACAGATTTCAGCCACTGATTCAGCTTCTTTTGTATAGCAGTATCCTTTGACCTGTATGCCAAGCCAGGGAACAACAGGACTCTAACTCTGATAAATCCCAAAAAGTCTTTTTACCAATGGAGACTGCGAGTTCCTTCTAACTGTGTGGTGAGACTGGTAGTTATCACTTTGCATGGTGTCACTCCAGAGAGCTGTGCATCACACCACTTATCAGCCTATGATTTCCTTCTTCCTCTGCAGAACAAGATCATTACAAGGTATGATAGTACTGAGAAAAGATGTTTTACTGCACTGTACAGAAAGTCTCTGAAAGTATAATGATATCAAATTGATATTAAACAGGCTTCCAAAATGTAAAACTCCAAATACAACTTAATTAAAAAAATCTTGGATAAGGCAGTAAAAAAGATCTTCCAAATGATCCTTTCCCGATGAAATAGAATCATAGAATATCTTGAGCTGAAACTTGATGATCTCTGGAGGTCCCTTCCAACCCCTAACATTCTGTGATTCTGTGAAACTCCCTGCTCCTCAGAGGACTACCTAAAACTGAGAGTATTGCCTAGATGGATCTTGAACTCTGACAGGCTTGGTGCCATGACTGCTTCCCTGGGAAGCCTGTTATAAATTCCTATGGGTTTTAGTCTACATGAAGACTGATTTTTAATGGATTTGATTTTATATGATTACTGTCACAACTAAAAAATATACAGATTATTTTTTTAGAGTATTGTATTCTATTACTGTTAGAAAATACATGTTTTATATCAACCCAGTCACAGGCAAATACCTGTTCATAAAAGGGGTGGTGTGTCTGTGTAAGGCTTCATCCTCAGAGTTACTGTGCAGTCTGTTTACATAAGTGAGATCAGAATTTAACCTTCAGTGTTCATACTACTCACACTTTCCAGAGTCAAAATTAATGTATAGACAATTTATCCACCATGAACAAGTCTTCATTAACGAAATAAATAAAATGTTTTAGAGTTTCAGGATGGATGGCTTTGAGGGGGGATTTTTTTTTTTTTTAAAGAAATTTCAGAAAGAGGCTAGCTGAGCATGCAAGTTTGGTTAGCAGTCTCTGAAGTGCACTTCCTTAGTAGTGCTTTAACGTTCTTGAGTTAGGTGGTCTTCAGTTCTTAATAGACTTATTTCTCTCCTTATGCAATAAGATACCAGAGCTTGCTGTTGTTGTTGGACTGCCAGAAGGCCACCATGGAGGTTTCTGTAAGGAGTTAATCTCAGGTTACAGCATGACATGGAGAGTTTCATTCCTGATGCTGGGCTGCATCTGTTCTGCTGCTGATCAGGGGTTATTGCTGCGACAAGTCCTTTGTACATGATTAGCAATGGCTCAGTTTTTTAGGAACTGAAGAAATAAAGAGTCAGCCACATGCATGAAAGCACCTGGAAGCCAGCAAAAGCAACGCAGTTGTATGGTGTAACACATTCAGAACATCAATGCAGTAAGCTTTAAGACAGAAAATTCCAGATTGGACATTGATCTCTGTCTATCAGAGAACAAGAACAGAATGTGGTGACTGAAGTGATGGTAAAAGCCCAACTCTACCTCAAAAAAACTTGCCTTCATTTGGTTACTTTTATTGACATCTTAGCAAAGGTCTGTTTTAGCATATACCCATTAGTTTTCTACTTACACTAAAAGCAGCTAGTGACATACTTAAGACAGATGCAGTAAAACCAACAACAGTATCTCCAGTATCCATGACAAACAGAAATTACTGTGTTATAGCCATTATTCCCTGACATTTGGGTCTAGGATCACATATGGTGACTAAAATGATTCTCACCAGTTTCTGTAAACTGCAGTAATACAGAAGTTCAGTGACAAATATGAAAGACTGAGTGAGCTCGGGTTGTGAGATGTACTGTAAAAGTAGACATCTCATGTAGACAACTCATGTGTGTGAAGTTCTGGGGTCTAAACCCCCAGCCCTGAATCAGGGTTGACATATGGATGATGTCCACAGCCAGGCAGGAAAGACATTCCTGATTGGTTTTGCCCAGGGCCTGGCCAGCGTTGGGTGGGAGCTAGTTGGGGTATCACCACCAGGTACCCCTGCCTTCATCATTAACATCAAGTGTCCTGCCTCCAAGAGAACAGCATAAAAGCTGGTGCTGCCTGCAGTGGTGCTGGGGGGAATCTTACCTAGATGGTGAGTATGCTATGTAGGATTTCCAGTCACTGGCAGGGTCCCCCAACTACCCATTGTAGGCAGAGTCCCCAGCAATGGCAGGACATCAATATGGTAGGGAGCAGAGGAAGGAATATATCCATTATAATGGCACCATTTTGTGGTCATGGCCACACAATTGGAATTGGACTGGTTGCCTGGGTCCCCAGTCAATTTACTCATGTCTTCAATTCATCTTGCACCATGAATGAATACGTCAACCTTTTTATTCCTCTGGTGGCTGGTCACCTCATATCCCTCATACATGATTAAAACCAGAGGGAGGGATCTGGCTTGTGTGTTGTCTGTTAATGCTAATATCCTTCTTATCAGGGTATACAGTCAGCAAAAAAATGTGCTTGCTGTCCTATTCTGATGAGACTGTGACAAACAGTACAGCTAGGGGATAAGCCAGGCTGTCAACTGGGTGGAAGATCAAGATGCTGAAAGATTTCCACATGGCAGTGTGGAGGGGGCTCAAATAGCTAATTTTATAAAGGATTTGGCAGGTATTGTGATAAAAAGGATTTTAAAATATCTGCAAAAGAGAGGCAAATCACAGAGACATTGTCTAGTGCCTTGCATGAAATTAGAGCAGGGAATAGACTGCTAAAGTAGAAGATGACTTTCAGTTTAAGGTTAACAAATTTTATTTTAGTACCTCCACTCTGGGTCTCAGTGATGTCAAAGAATTTGATGCAGGGTTGTGATGGAAATACTCTCTTACTCTGAGTTCTAATTTTGCTTTCATTTCCTGTGCACAGAAAAAGAGAAAACTTTGAATTTTTTTACACATAGATTTGTAAATTAATGAAAAGAAATCCAAAATACGTTATGGGTTTTGAAATGGAATAAATATAAGGGTGAATTTACAGATGGAAAAAATAACATCTCAAATTACAAGTGGTAGTAAGTTTTCTAGCTTCAGGATATAAATTAACTCATCATTATTTAAACAAAAGAAGAAAGATAAGTAGTTGCCTTGCCTGGGGCTTCACATCTTCCATGATGCTTTTGTGCCATGAAAGCAAACTGAACGTTAATAGGTTGGAAATGCTTTAGGCATTGCCACCTGCTCCACAGATGCTGCTCAACACTGCTGCACCGGCACTTGTTGCCTTTTCAGTGCTACCCACTGCTTCTCAGTGCCACTGTCATACTGAAGTAACATAATATGGCACTACCTTCTTGATGTTTCTGCAGGTCTGAAAACTCCAAGGCGCCTGTTAGGCAAGAACATCTGTGATGTTTACCCTGAATGACTAAACCTCAATGCTGGGAAGCCCTAGCATCTTGTGTAGTATCAACTGAGTGGGAAAATAAAAGGGAAGTGGTAGCCAGGGGAATGCTTCTGAAACACAGATGACCAGAAGAGTGTTATTTCTGACCAGTTTCTCAGCAAAGATGACTGGAATATGGGAAACTTTTTTTTTTTTTAAAAATGTTATTTTTGTAACATTTCAGATGGTGTGGACCTGGGGCCTGGACCCCTTCTGTTGTACGTTTAACTTCATCAAGTAACGTGATGTTACTTACCTTCTCACTGGACCGAAGAGAAGAAAGCAGTATATTGAAAGCCCACTTTCAAGCTATTCCTAAAATCAGTAAGTAATTAATAGAAACAGGCACCTGACGTAAGCTTACTTGTACCTTTAGTTGCCTATCAAAGAGACGATATTGCCTGAATGAAATCTGGGGAGATGGAATGTTGGCATACAAGTCAAGGGATTGTCAGTATGATCCACTTCAAATGTCTGAGAACTGAACAAAGAATAGAGAACATTGGGAGACTTTGGGGAGATTTTTTGGTTTGGGAGATGGGTTTTTTTTGTCTTCCTGGCTACTATCCAAGCCACATTTCCCAGACATTACTCTTATTATACACGTAACACAGCAATGGTAATGGAGCAGCCAGCAACATAACTCTACAGACACTATATATTGAGGCAAAGCTAGATAGTCCCACTGACACAGCAGCCCTTTTATCAGTTTTGGCAATCTATCTCCAGCTCCCAATAGACCCAAAAAGCATATTCTGCACCTATGGAGTCCCATAAGATCGGCAAAGAGAGCTTTGTGTCATTAGCGATGTATTTTGAATAATGGCAAAACATAGTATTTTACAGGAGCTGTAGGAGCTTCACTGGTGAAAGTTCAGCCACAGTTGCTTTGTAAGGTCTAACTGAAAGAATTTTGACAATTAAGAAGTGAGCTTTTTTTTTTTTTTTTAATTTGTGGAACAAATTATAGGGGATAAACTTCTCCAAAGCTTACATGTTTCAGCTTATGTCTCTGTGGATACTGCTTAGGCAAATACTTATCCCATGCACATTACAGAATAGATTTACATCATTATTCTGAAGATGGGTACTCTAAATGACATGTAGCCCAGGTTTTGCCACAAAATTTTGCTATTTTCAAAGTTTTTAAAATTTCTCTTATATTTGTGTTTACATTTACTGTGTTACCTAAAGGAAACTAAAGGCACTAAAAACTGGGTATCTAGGAAAGTTCCTGGTAGCAAATAAAACCTCAGAAATGTTGTTCAAATGTAGCATGAAAGTTCAGACTGATAACTGACATGCAGACTTCCTGGTTTACATAATATTAATCATGTAATTCATGAATGAATCAGGTTTCAGTTCGTTGTGCTGATTGCTGTTTAATTTTTGAAAACGTCTACAGAAAAGTGAGAAGTAAATTGGGAAGTGGAGGTCTGTTGCATCCACATTTAATTGTTTCTTTCACTTACCACAAAATAACTATAAGAAAAACCAAACCACAACAGTTTCAGTCAGAGATGGTTTATGTTTATCCTTAATTGTAATTTGATCAAAAAATAAGAGAAATTCAGTGTGATGGAGAATTGGAAGTTACATGGTTTTCTGTTAATACAGTCAAAACCTGAGTTTAGTACTGTCATAACCCATTCTTCTAATGCTGTACATAAAGAAAGGTCCTAGGTAATCTAGGACCTTTCTCTATGGAGTAGTCTTTCTCTATGAAGTAGTCTCTGCCCCCTAGCCCAACAGAGATAACTGTGTTCCCTGTTAATATATTTCTCTCCCAGTGTGTGGCGGCCATCATGTTTCCTGGAACGGGACACTCAGTTCCCCTTATTACCCAAGTTACTACCCACCAAACATAGACTGCAGCTGGATCATCAGAGTAAGTCCTGGGAACTCCTGGGTAGTGGTGACTTTGCTTTATGTGATGCAGACATAAAAGTGGGAAAAATGGCTTTTAATGTGGGTGAAATGGAGGGGAAATGTACTGTGACTGCACCTGACTTTTTTTCAGGCACCCATTTCTTTCCTGTCCTGTGTACAAGTGCCAGCTATGGGAGGGAAATACTGCCAGCTTCTAACAGTTTGAGTATTATTGGTAACAGAGACAATGAGGGGTAACACACCGTATTCAGGACATCCAGGCAATCAGGCCCAGCCCGTATGGGTTTATGAAAGACAGGTCCTGCTTGTCATATCCTTCTATGACAAGATGTCCCACCTGGTAGATGAGAGAAAGGCTGTGGGTGTTGTTTACCTGGACTTCCATAAGGCCTTTGACACTGTTTCTCATAGCATTCTCATGAAAAATAGTGGCTCTTTGTGTCTTGGATGGGCATATGCTCTCCAGGGAAAAACACTGGCTACATGGCCAAGCTCAGAGAGCGGTGGTGAATGGAGTTAAATCTGGCTGGTGGCCTGTCAGAAATGGTGTACCTCTGGGCTCAGTGAAGGGACCTGGGGGTACTGATCAACAAGTGGCTGAACAGGAGCCAGCAGTGTGCCCAGATGGCCAAGCAAGCCAACGGCATCCTGGCCTGTATCAGAAATGGTGTGGCAAGCAGGACCAGGTAGGTGATTGTCCCTCTGTACTTGGCATTGGTGAGGCCACAACTTGAGTACTGTGTTCAGTTTTGGGCACCTCAATACAAAAAAGACATCAAGGTGCTAGAGCAGGTCCAAAGAGCGATTAAGCTGGTGAATGGCCTGGAGAATATGTCTAATAAGGAGTGACTGAGGGAACTGGGGCTATTTAGTTTGAAGAAAAGGAGGCTGAGGGGAGACCTTATTGTTATCTACAACGATCTGAAAAGCCACTGTAGAGAGGTGAGTGCCTGTCTCTTCTCCTAAGTAACAAAGGATTGGACAAGAGAGAATGGCCTCAAGCTGCATCGGGGAGGTTGAGACTGGGCATTAGGAAGAATTTTTTCACTAAAAGGGTTGTTGGGTATTGGAACATGCTGAGGTGGTGGAGTCACCATCCCCGGATGCGTTTAAAAGCCATGTAGATGTGGTGCTTGGGGATATGGCTTAGAGATGGACTTGACAGAGTAGGGTTAATGGTTAGACTTTATGACTTTAAAGGTCTTTTCCAACCAAAGTGATTCTATGATTCTATAGATGACAAGTTGCAGTGGCCAAAGAATATCTCTAATAATCAGGGCTTTGCTTCTATGTCAGAAAGAAAACAACAGTCATATAAATCATGCCTCATATGATGGACATCACACTGTATTTTCCTACAGTCTGCTCAGAAATTCAGCTCTGGATTTCCAGCAAGCCCTTTGACAGGATTTATAATCTGCTTGTGATTTCTACAAACTTCCTGGTGTCTTTTTCTGTTGTTCCATTAGGCATTTAACTACTTCTTTGACTTTCCCTGAAAAAGGATGATATTAATGTCTTTGAGTTCATAACAACGTTTTGCCTGCTTAATGAAAATTATTAGCAGCTTATAGGACAAAGCTCTTACCTATGTGCAGGAAAGGGAAGAAGACTTTCTAAAACATGCAGGTCATCGCTAATGCAGTTGAGCCACCAGCTGCCATAGATATCTAAAATGTCTTTTTTGACCTAATGGAATATGGAGCAGTACAAACATAGCATGAACCTCAGATATAGTGTTTTTTGCTGACTTCGGGAAGACCTATACTTCTTTATCTGCCACAGTTTGGCCCAAGTTTGGCCTATACTGGTTAAAAAAGTATAACAACTAAGAGTAAAATAACTAGCAAAGTTATTTTGGTTCTTCAAAGATGCTGATTTGAATAATAAAAAAAGTGAAGTTTTTTTAATCTGATAATAAGCAAAACAAGATATACCATCTTAGAAGCACAAGCCTTTTAACTTTGTGGATGTGTGTGTTGTGATATTTATCTTTTCATTTTTAGGCACCATTGCCTGGCTACAAGCTCTTATTAAAAATCCTCATAATACAAATTCAAGAGAAGTCTCCAGGATCCAGCAAATGTGATAAAGACTGGTTAGAAATTGATGGGATCAGGTGAGTAAAGACACTATTTCCTGAGACATTAATTTGCATGTTGATGTTCAGCACAACATATTGAAGAAAAAAATCTCACCACTTCTAGTGCAGAAAGATGCACTTAAACAAAAATTGACATGCTTCCATTGAATTTCAGAAGAATAATATTTTCAGTCCTTCCCTAATTCTGAATATTTGTCATTTTGTTAATTTAAGCATTCTGCTTTTGGTAAATGGGCATTTCTGTTAGGTGGTTACTTACTTTGCTGTTCCTCTTAAAAGTAATTGCACAGAAGACTGCAGGACTTTGTGCAGTTGTAGTTAAACTGTAAATTCCTGTCAATGATCTTGACATGTGCAAAGAGCTTCCATTAGTTAATTTCATTTTCTATACCATTTAGTCCTCAGCAATTGTAACTGTTTTCTGTAAGACAGACAAATTGCAATGTGTGTGCTTAAAGGAAACAAACACACACCCCCAACTCCCCAAAAACGAGGGAAGAAACCCCCACCACCCAACAAGCTTAAACTAAACCCAAAAAAGTACTGTTCGGAGTAGTTTTTCTCTTGGAAGGAGCATACTGAAGCTGTTGGATTTGGCTGTATGATTCCGTTACTAACTATGTGGTCTTTGGGGTACCAAACCTAAAAGGGAAATACAAAATCAAGGATTCCTAGAAGTGGTTTGGATTTATAGGGTAGATTCTGACATTGATCATCTTGCTGTATTTTGTTTCAAAGTCTGCTAGTCCCAGAAAAGTTGTGGTGTATGGTGGCACTTTTAAATAGGCTTTCAAATATTGCTATCTGGCTGTTCTAACACTAAAAAATAGCTGATCTTTATTGTACTGTTTTAAAGCTTTTTGGCTCTGGTACCCTTCAGTAAAAGGAGAGCTGGCTGGTAATGGTCAGTTTGGTTAGAAATTAATTACTCTTACTTTTGCCTTGCTAGATACTGTAAAGCTCACTCAGAAAACATGCTTAGAGAGTACAGCTATTCTGTCACAATCAACTTCCATTCCGATGAGCTGGTCACCCACAGAGGATTTTATATTGAATACAAAGCCTTCAGACACACAGACCGTAAGCGAATAAACACATGCTTTAATTTTTGAGGAGAAACTTAAGCAACCATGCTTGACAGACCAACCACATAAAAACTGACATGACTTTTTTTCTTAACCTAGTTGCAGGAGACAAACGTTTAGAAAGTTATAATGTATTTAATTGAACATATACACATATTCACTTGGGATATTTCTTAGAAAAGATATACCTGCAAAATATACTTTCTAAATGCCTTCTTTTTCCTTTAACCAATTCATGTCTAGGCAGCTAACATCCCCTGTGGTTTGAAGAGACCAGTCCAGTTTGTAAAACATCTTCAGATCCTGACCTTGCCTGACTGAGTGTAGTTCTGTTCACTGCTGACCTTTAGAGCTTAATATGTAAACTCTGCTGTAGTACAGATTCTGGTTTCAGGTCTTTCATTAGAAATAAGTGTCAGATTTTGTGGTCATTCATTCTATAAGACTAAGATATTTTCAGAGATATTTTATTTTTCTGCTAGTGTGTCTCTTTCTAGTGGAAAAAGTTACAAACTATACTGTGTTCTATGGTTACTCTGGTTACTGCCTCCAAAATGGCTCAGAGACAAGTCAAAGCCTAAGAAAACCTTTTATTAACAGAGAAAATCCCCAGTCTCTATTGCATGTACAAGTCTTTACTTTGTGTGCTCTGCTCCCTTTCTAGCACTGGGTCAGCAAGCAGATGGCTCAAAGTCATATAATCAATTCTTAATCACAGTCCTAGGGATCTGTATTACAGCTCACTGGGAGGGGTAGGTTGGCTGTGATGTGTCAGTATCAAGTTGACAGAGGAAAGGCGTTTCTGGAGGGTTATGTGAGAGTGCAGAATGTATGGAGAGCACTGTTCTGCAAAAGCCTTGTCTGTAGCAACAGTAAGAGGGAGAGGGGAAGAAACAGTGGGTGGGGGGAAAGGCCCTGAATAACTTCAGGGAATGGTGAGGTGAGCACAGAAAGACTCCTGCTTTGAGCTAGTGCTGCCTGTGTAGTGTGTGCTTTCCTCCCACCAGCACCACACGCAAGGCACTGAAGTGGACTAAATGACTCCAAATAGGAACAGATTAAATAAATGTGGGACAAACAGTTTTGGTCCTTCAATCTGACTTAGCTGTTAATTCGCCTGTTGTGCTAGAGGGGTAAAACTTTAAATAGCCTGGGCAGAAAGAGAGGAGGTTTTTTGGCTGCTTGTTCTTCCACAGCTGCTTTTTTTTTTTTTTTTTTGCTAGCTCGTCTGAAGAACTGGAAGAGAACAAACACTTTTGATATATTACAAAGAAGAAATACCTTAACATTGATACTAGATGTTAGTTCAAGTGAAAGTGAAACAGATTCTTGGTGAAAGGTTGTTTCATAATGAAACTGCTAAATTTGGAAAGTATTTGATAAAGAACATCAGACAGGATGTTAGAGTGTAGTAGCAGAGAGATTAATTTCTACTGATACATTAACGCCAGGAAATTTGTATTTCTAATACTAAGGAAGTGTCTAGTTTTGACACTTTCTTCACTCCTCCCCCCCTTAGATGTTCATGTGTAAAATATATTAACTTAACGAATTGAAGATGTGTTCACTATTGGTAGTAACTGTATATCTCTACTGAACTGCTTTCCACCCTTTGAGTAAGGCAGTGAATGTGAATTTAATTTTCAAAGTCCAGTTAGGTGAATAATGATTTATCTAATTCAAACTGCCTGATAAAAATCTTTGGCAGATTATGCCAAATAAGATAGAATTTCCCTTTTTAACATTCAATTTAGTTTATTAATGACACTAGCTTTGATTTTTAGTAACTATTATAATATTTCTTCATGGTACAGTCCTGTGTTAACACATTTAGCCTGTAACAACTTTTCTAGTACCATTAATTTCTTATTTTTCCAGCGCAGATGTGCAGTAAGACCATGCATTCTCTAAAGCAATCATTCTGAAGGCTGCAAAGGCTGCTCAAATGGTAGTGATGAATTAGATAGTGGTAGGGCAATTATTTCTTGTTTATATTCTCCTGTAAACAGTTTGCTGCAGGAAGTGTAGAGACTGGCTGAAATTATCTCTAAAATATTGGTGGCTATCTCTAAGATCACGTGAAGGATGTGGGTGAAGATCTAAAAGTATGGAGAAGAGAAGGGAATTTTACACCAGTCTTCACAAGTTAAGTTTAAAAAACAAACAACATCAACAAAACAAACAAGTAGTCAAAGGAAACTATTTGCAAGCAGTGAAAAAAGTATTAAAAACCAGGATGGAATTGTTTTGTCTTAGCTCTCTTTTGTCAGAGGATAAATAGAGGGAAGGTTGTACTTGGACACTGTCTTGTATGACAAACTTATCAGTAAGTAAAGGAAACACAGGGAGAAAAAAATGTGCAAAACTGTTTCCAGAGAATGATTACCAGTGACCCATTACCAAAATGGAAGGATATTTTTATTGTCATTTTACAACTATCTGTTATAAGATTTCTCAAAATTTTTGTTAATGTTGTAAAGAATAGATTAGAGAGGATACTTAAGAGAAGTAATAATAGAAAGAAGGATGTATTTAAAAGGGATTTACTTATAAATGGTCCTGACAAGCTGGAGAATGTATATGGAAAAAATGATATCCCACTCAAAGACAAGATCTGAGCTTAGCTAATCAAATACATATGTGGATTGCCTTGATGATAGTGAGTCAAAAGCTGACCTGAAAGTCAAAGTCATACCATTTTCTCTGTGTGTTGTGTGTGTGTTTAGTGTTTTGTTGTTTATTTCTTTTTAAAGTGTCATCCTAGGATGTCAGACAGAACTTTGGAAAGATTTTCCTGGTCAGAGCACAGCACAAGTTACATAATGCAACAGGGTGTCTGTCACTGGGGGTTATCAAAACCAAGGTAGATTAATGTCTGGCAGAGGTGGCACAGTGACATCAAGGTGACCTCTGGCAGGGAGTGTAGCACATGGCTGCTAGTCAGACATTTGGTTTACAAAGCATTTATAGAACTTTCTTCTTCAGGTTGTGTTCCAGAACAATTGGACTGTGGTGATAGGAAGTGTAAGCATCAATACAAGACTTGTAAAGATGATGACAGCTGTGGGGTGGACAGTGATAAAAACAACTGTTTTAAGTATATTTTTTTAGCTATTTTCCAAAAGATGGTGGAAGGCAGAAGTAGGATTGTATTTATTGTTGTAATAGATAAATGTAGTATATTTTTTTTTCATTGTATAAAATACAAATTCCACAATTACAAAAACAAAACATGCAGAGTATAACTAGTTCTTGGGAGAAACTAGTCAAGAAATTAATGTAGCAAAATTCACAATAACAGTGATTTTAGTGAGATGATGTAATCATAGCTTGCTGGTGATCCTGTTAGAAGAGCAGTTTTTCCAATTGCTGCCAGATCAGTACCAAACAATGTAAGGGACAGAGATATAATGAGCTTTGGGACTGTTGCCCTTTACTACATGCATGGTCTATTTACTGTAGCTCCACCATAGCTATGGACATTTCTGGTACTACTACTATCTCCCTAGTGCTTGCTGCATTTTGCCTTTATAATTTTTCTCTTGCTTTGAAGCTTAGGTCCTTGAGGTAGCCAGGACTATGTTCTTATTTCTAGAAAAACAAACAATCAAACAAACAAAAACAAGAAAACCCAACCAAAACAAAACAAACTCCACACAAACAGAAAACCCCTTCCACTGTTTAGAGGTCACTGTAAACAGGTGATAATAAGAATAATGAGAATGGGAGCCTATTGCTGTCTGTCAGGACTTCCACATAGTAAACTTCTATAGTCCTTAGCAAAAAATAGTTATTGAGGGGAGGTATAAAGCTTTTACACAATTTTCTCAACTTTCATTTGGGAAAAAAAAAAAAAGGTTGACTCCCAGATGATATGTGCTGTGAAGACTTATAATGCTGGTAGTGCTAGTGAAGGTAAAACAACAGGTCTGAGAAACCTGTCTTGCTCAGTATAGAATTAAGTGAAATGGGAGTGAGGACAGTTGGAAGCTCTTCTGTCTATTTCCTCATGGAGAGTGTAGACTGAAGTTAGCGTGATCATTAATCAGAGTGGAACGTTCTTCCTGTCCCCTCCACACAGAGGGACTAGTTTAATACCAGTACAGACTATGACTTCAAGCAGACTGGGATGTATCGCTTTGAACAACTATCACCGAGTAGGCTGAACATGCAAGTTCTTTTAATAATTTGAAATCATGGCTCCAAACACGTGACATTATCCTCTCTATCTTATTTCAGCCTACAAAAGTTGCTCCCCTTATGCATATAGATGTCTTAATGGAAAATGCCTATTGAAACCAAATCCTGAGTGTGATGGAAAAAGAGACTGTGCAGATGGATCTGATGAAGCGAATTGTGGTGTGGTAACATTTATTTAAAAATTAATGGCTTGGGAAACTGACTCAGGATTTTGTGCTATGGTCAAGAATTATTAGCTTAAGAATTTATTAAATCAGGTGTGAATTAAAAAAGCTAATCTCTTGGTAACATCTGTATGAAAATGTCTGTCTTGAATTTTGCACTGTTTCATTTTAAATCTGCTGGTCCATTGTGTCTGTGATGACTTATTTCAAGCAATGCACACTCCCAGGGTAAGCTGGTAGATCTTAGCGCTTGCCTGAGCTGAATGAAATACAGTCAAGGAGCTGTGTATTTAAGAAGGGAAAAAATATGAGGTTTTATTCAAGTGAACTTTGGGAAACAACGCAGCTTATAATTATGCTTAAAGGTCTTTTTGAGTTACCAGTCTCTTTAGAAAGCCTAAGAGGGAAGATAGGCAACTATTGGTTTATTTCTGACCTGCCCATTGTGTGAAAATGGGCAAGTACCCTTTTTTTTTACCAATTTCACAATAAGAAAACACTTCTTTTCCACCAGCTTTGAGGTCTATTGATGAAACTTTGTGTATGCATCATAGCCAAGTGAAGTGACCTTGTGTTTTTCATTACTATTTTATTAAATTATTTCTATTAGCTTGTGGAAGACACCAGTTTAGGAAAAACAGAATTGTTGGAGGTGCAGATGCAAGATCTGGAAAGTGGCCTTGGCAAGCAAGTTTACAGATGGGAGGACACGGCCATGTATGTGGTGCATCTGTTATTTCCAGCAAGTGGCTCATATCTGCTGCCCATTGCTTCCTGGATTCTGATTCTGTGAGGTATGAAGTTGTTATATTGCCATAGGCTAATTCCAGTTTAATAGCCTTACAGTGTTTTTTTCAAAAGGCTGCAGTAGCTATTCCAAGTTGATTCAGGATATCCCTCTGCCATGATACCACTACATGAACCCTCAATATTGTGTTCTGTTGGCTTCAAAAGTCCTAAGTTCTGGAAGTAATTATTTGCCTCTACTGCCAGTGAATCCTACATGGTAAAACACACTATTTTGTTAGATTTAGGGTAAACACCATTTTTTTTCTAGAAGGCAGGGATTTTATGAGTAGAAGCTACAGCATTTTCTCCCAAGAAAAGGACTGGAATGTAAAACTCCATGTTCAGTTTAGATAGTGTAAATGGAAAATACATACCTGCTGCGTGCGGCAAGGAGAAAATGGAGTTTAATAATATGCTTTTCTGACTTCCAAAGCATGGTGTGTTGCAAAGAATTTGTCTTACAGCTCCAGGAAATTATTATTTTCAGAACAGTAAGTAAAAAGATTACTTAATGTTTTTAGGAGACAGATACTACAGTGCATCAGTAGTACAGTGTACTACTACTTCCTGAGTGGTATTCTACTCCATTCACATCAGTTTTGATTAATCTCATCAAATACTGAAAAGCAGATAAAATGGAGTGAACTGACACTGCATTACTTTCCAATAAGATGTTCTAAAAGCATTCTCTTTACAGATACTCCATTCCTTCAGGATGGAGAGCATATATGGGCTTGCATACTATTAACGAAAAGAGCAATCGTGTAGTTGTGAGATCAATCAAAAGGATAATTGTCCACCCACAGTACGACCAATCTATCTCAGACTATGACATTGCCTTATTGGAAATGGAGACGCCTGTATTCTTCAGTGAGCTGGTACAGCCCATTTGTTTACCCAGCACATCTAGAATATTTGTTTATGGAACTGTCTGCTATGTAACTGGCTGGGGAGCCATAAAAGAAAAGAGTATGTTCACTTCCTGGATATACTTCTTGCAAATTTGGCTTAGCTTGAAACTCTAACAGTGAAATATTTATAGTCATAAGAAAAAATACCTATGATTTACTTAGTAGGTCTATGAAAAGCTAGAAAATGTCCCCTTAGCTACAACCTTTGAATTCTGAATGTTTGCTTGGTAGCAGGTGATAAGTGTTAATATGTGTACTCAGGTGTCACACACCATCAAGCAGCAAATGACCGCAGATTTGCAAACATCTGCCTGTTTTCATGTTTGTGGCTCATTTTATCTGGTGCATAGGTCATAAAAAATCTTACAGATAAAGAAAAGTGACTTGCAGCTATTGCAGAGGAAGAATTTATCTCCGAGACTCTATATGACAGTATTGGGCCACGAACAGCAATAATTGCAAAAAAATATTGTGAAAGGTTTTTTTTTTCTTTTGTCTATATTAACCAAAGGCAATGTAATGTAGGCCCCATGAAGAGTTCTGCCTCTCAGCAAGCTGCAGTGAGGAGACAGGAAAACAGCAAGCAGAGTTGGAGGGGTTTGGGGGCAGGAGCCCAAGGGATATTGATCCTTTCTCAGTATTAGACAAGAGGAAGAATTTACTATAGACTATATATTTACTGTCAAATAGAATATTCTATTTGACAGTATTGGGCCACGAACAGCAATAATTGCAAAAAAATATTGTGAAAGGTTTTTTTTTTCTTTTGTCTATATTAACCAAAGGCAATGTAATGTAGGCCCCATGAAGAGTTCTGCCTCTCAGCAAGCTGCAGTGAGGAGACAGGAAAACAGCAAGCAGAGTTGGAGGGGTTTGGGGGCAGGAGCCCAAGGGATATTGATCCTTTCTCAGTATTAGACAAGAGCTAGCTTTGAAATCTTGGCTTAAACAGTTCCTCATGGCCACAACTGCACTTGGATCTGGTTCCTCATGTTTGATGAGAAGCCATATGCTGTGACAATTCTGATTTTCTTAATACGTCTTTTTAAATCAAGAGTTAGATCTAGTTCATAATGTCCTAACCTAATGAAATGTAAATGGCTTTACAGTTGATGCCTTCTTACAATGTCTTTTTCTAAAAAAAAAAATCATGTAGGTAATACTTAGAAGTCAGTATAATGGCATGTGGAAAAAGAAGATTTTTCTATCTTACCTATTTCATCCCCTGTTCACCCTCAGAGTTGAATGAGCAAACAAACCAAACCCCAGTACTACTTCTGATCATCCAAGTTTGCAAAGGATACTTCCATTGTTGGGCCAAAACATGACTGAGGCTATTTAGTTCATAATGACACCTTATGCCAACATGACAGTACAGAGTTAAACTCTTGGCATCACTTGTGACTTACAGGCTTGATTTTAAAAAATTGCTTATTCTCCTGTTTCAGCTTCATTCCATAGCTCCTTCCCTAGAAGGGAAAGGATGGAAAAGTATGTAGGATCTTCTTTTAGTAGGACTTGGACAATGCTTGGGGCACACCCATATTGTAAATAACAAAAAGTTTGGGGCATAATTTGAAATAACACTCAAAATTACTCATACTGTGTGGAATCTTGTATTATAATCTGCATAGCTTGTTTGTGACAGAACAAGCTCATAAGGATAAAGACTAAAGAATCAGAAAGGTGATGCATAAGGACCTCTATGTCTATGTAGTGTATATAACTGCTTTCAAAAGCTGAGGGCAGGAAGCAAATTGAAGGGATGTGAAATACTCTCCAGTCATCAGCTGGGTAGATTTTGAGTTCAGAGCAGTTCTCTTTTGTTTTGACAAGTGGTATCTCCATTAGAAAACTGTATTAGTATAGCCTCTGCAATACCATTTGTATTTTTTCTAGGTCACCTTGCCAAAACACTGCAGGAAGCTCCAGTGAGAATAATTAACCAAAGTGTCTGCAACAAGCTGTATGATGATCTTATCACATCACGTATGCTGTGTGCTGGGAATCTCAGTGGTGGTGTTGACGCATGTCAGGTAATCTGGAACTTGCAGAAAAACTATGGAGGAATATTTGTTTTCACTGGACAACTGCTCAGAGTTGTGGATTGTTTGTGGATTTGATTATTTTTTTTCATAGTAATAATGTGATGACTTTGAGTGTACGTTTCATTTAACATGACAATTAAAGGCTCTCTAAACTAAGGAAGGAAATTTGGCACAGATAATGTCTGAATCTCTTGAGAAATATTGCTTTGCAAAGACAAGGGGTAAAATGTGTTGACAAGAGTTCTTTTTCCTCTTCTGCTGTTGTTTCTGTAAAATAACAGGAGATGTAAGGATAAAGGAAATAGAGCCACCTGCAATTTTTCCTATACATACCTATTTTTTTTCTTTTTTTTTATATCTGGATGTGGGATTAATAAAATTCCATAACAATTTGAGTAATGTATTGATACAGTTACAAAGACCTATAAAAGGCAATGGTAAGCTACGTTTGGTGAATGTAGCTGCAGTACAACCTCTGAGTTTCAAATGTTCATTGGTATGTATAATCACAAGTCGTGTTTCTATCATGGTAACATAAGTTATATGGCCTAGTTTATTTGCACACACAGTCAGAAACTGCTTTTTGGATGTACTTCAACAGTCTTGATGCTGTCTTCTTTCTCCCCAGCTATTAGACTAGTTGTGTACTTTATCAGTATTTAAAATTATCATGGTGAATATCCACTTTCAAAATTACAAACCTTATTATACATGTTATTGCGTAAAGAGAGAGAAATATGTTACTGATTTTAGACTGTGGTAATTTGATAGAATGTTACTATTTTAATATAATAAGGTAAGTTTTTCAAGATCATACTCCTAATGGGTCAAGCTTGTTTATACAGCATAGATTATTTGCAGGATCTTCCTGAAGTCTCTAAGTTTTAATTCAACAAATTGTTGTTTTTGTTGACCTTATGTGCAGTTTGTCTATAACCTTAGACCTTGGCATTGTTTTGCTGAACATTGTCAGTTTAGAGGCTTGACAATCCTCAAAAAAATGTGCTGCTTAAGAAATGCCCTTGAATTTTTAGATGGGCATTTTAACTAATTAGGCTATATACCACAGTGGTCAATCCAGTTTCCAACATAATGTGCTGTGTTTGAGTCCTAGCATGCTGGCCCTCTGGTCCTCTAAGTTCTTAGTCTGGGTAACATCTTTGCTATCTCTTTATTTTCTGTCACTAGTTCACTTTTGTACAGTGCTAGAGAGGAATGATGCTGGCAGTTAATGAAATCTCCACAGCACCCTGAAACCCTTTTTCTGCAGGTCCAGACCTGTGAGCATCCTGATTTGTTTAACTTGTTCGTGGATACATAAGCTGTCCATTAACTGCACAGGTTATGTGGAGCTTCCAAATGCCCTTCTTCTTTAGAGGATGTGATACTTAGTGAAAAACAAAGCATCTACTCTTTCAGACTCTGTTTTCTTATTACTATAGGATGTTCTTTGATCTTGGTTCCTCTTCTTGAGATCCTTCCTTTCTCCACGAGCATATAGCCCCTTCAGTGTTTCAAAACTGGTTGTGTAATTGGCCAGGCTATACACCCTCCTTTCTCAAGATCAGCCTCTTCGATTATCAAAATTGCCAGTATGACAGCAGCCTGAGAGAGAGAAAAACTCTTCTGGCTTCTTTTATTATCTTTAGATAATTTTGTTTGGTTGAGTTGTTACATGGCTTTCTTCTGACCTCTTTCAAGTTTTGGATCCAACTAGCAAACAAACTCCAGGGGCAACTTGAAGGCTGCTGACTGCCTCGTATGCATAAGGAACAGCTGCAGAAATGAGCTGCATCTGTACCTGTCAGAGTTCTGTGAACTCATCTGTTCACAGAAGACATTCAAGGTTAAAACAATTAAGGACACAAAGCATTTGTGAGCCCAAATGTGTTTTGATCCTGTAAATTGAACTAAAGGGTATTTTTCACTTTTTTTATGCTGCATGTTTCCTTTAAGAAGTCAGTTCTTATCTGCATATTCCTTAGTCTTTGTTCCCTCCTCTCCATCTGTGAATGTAGACACAATCTTGATTATGAAACTGTTAATAATACTTAGTTGTACCTGTTCTGAGTTTTGGTTTTGAGTTTGTTTTGGGTTTTGGCATGGGGTGTTTTTGGTTTTTTAGCTTTAGTTTGTTTTTTTTTTGGGGGGGGGGGGAGGGGCTGTGCTATTTTTCTGTTCCTATTTAATACAGTATAAAAGTTCTGCCTTCAATCTGTGAACCATTTATGGTCAAATCCCCACTTATAGCAGAATTCCCACATTCCGACCTGGTCTTCTCCTCTCCCCATTCAGGCTGTAAGCAGATGCCTTATGAAACCTCAAGGGGGATGTTAGCAATGAGTAATTTTTAAAATGTCCTCTTGCCATTGCTTCATACTGATTACTGTCCTACTTTCATAAGTTAAAAATGAAATGAATACATTTAGCAGGTAACTGGGTACATTCTACCCAGAAATAAGTTTCTAATATTAAATTCTAATCTGTGAAAGGGAGGGGCAGGTATTTAGTGTCCTTAAATAACCAAACTTTTGTTATAATGGTCTGTGTGTGTGTGCACTAATGGCTGAACTTTCATCTTAGGGAGATTCCGGAGGTCCCTTGGCCTGCACAGGACAGGGGAATAGATGGTACCTTGCTGGCGTTGTGAGCTGGGGTGAAGGATGTGCTCGGCGCAACCGCCCTGGCGTATACACTAAGGTGACGGCGCTTCACGACTGGATTCATCGGAACACAAACTGACGTGCCAAGGAGACAATGCAGATCACCTCCCTTCTGAGAGAAACCTGCTTCCTACAGTAGACTATCATGTCCATCTCTAATCATATAACATGAAAATGGCATTGACTGGTTCTTTGTGAAACAATGCAGTTTCTTTATGAAGAAGTGCATTATCACTTGCTGTTCACCTAACAGTTACCGTTTAGATTCAGAGCAACTTCAGATTCCTTATGGAGTCATCTTGCTTATCCCCAGCAGCAGAAACAGCACTGCCTTAAAAACAAAATAAAATGGATTAGAACCTGGAACAAAGAGCCAGCTAGATCTCTCTTTAGTAAATCTTCTCCCATGCTTCCATCTCCCTTGTTATCTATATATGTTTCCACATGCACATTTTTGAATATTCATGGCCACATACCATATTCACATATATATTATCTTAGAGATGTTACAGGATTCTAAACATAATTATGTAATATTTCTAGCAAATACAAATACCATAATCAGTATAGTGCTGCCACTGCATGAATGTTCCTTCCTAGGCTGTAACTTTTGGGCAGTCTCCTGTGTTTTCCTAAAAACATCAGATACATAGCTCACCAATGTTGAGATGTTTTGAGAGTTTCTGGGGAAGGGGACTCCACAACTTCTCTGGCCACCCTGTTCCAGTGCTCCATCACCCTTGCAGCAAAGTTGGTTTTCCTCAGTTTAGGAAATTCAGGTGGAACTTTATGTTCTCTAGTTTCTGCTTGTCACCCAATGCTTGCAATATGTTACAAGCGTATTTCAGCATGCTCCTGATGTGTTTACACTGTTTTTCCTGATGTCCTTGGTCTGCAGCAAGCAGAGTTTCAGGGTCAGGACTTTTGTTTTGTATCTCTTCCTGAGCTGTGCCCACATGGCCTCACTACATTGAAAGGTACATAAAAGGAAAGAGAATTTATGTGGCTGGATGCATCCTTGGACTCAAAGAAAATGGATGAGGAAATGACAGCCAGATACCTTTAAACCTAACAGTAAATCTAGCCTTAAAAATTATAATCTCCTGATGAGTTGACCAGCCCAAATCTAGCTGATTTAATGTTTCCAAAGCTGCTTAAGAATGCTGATATTCAGTTTAATAAAAGATCTCTCCAGATAGCTTTAAGACCATCTAGGTGTTCTTGTACCTTTGATGTACCAAAAAAAAAAAAAAAAGGGGGGGGGGGAGGCAAAACCAAAAAGCTGGAAATTTCAGTACCAGTCACACAGCATGTTTCTCTTCAAACACGGGATCTTTGTGTGGGGAGCACATTGGAATGAGCTAGCACTGTGCATGCAGTGAGATTCCTGTGTCTAACACTGATACTACATTTCCTTCCTTCCTTCCTTGCACTAGTATTGGGCATTCCCCCTGCCACAATGCTTGGGTCAAATTTACTACGTAAGCTATACTCAGAGCCTGTACTTTAGGGGGTTTAGTAACTAGTCAGTCATGCACATATTCCTTTTTAATAAACAAGTGCTAAAAATGCAAGTGGCTACCTTGTACTTGTTCAGTTGTGCCTCTGAAACTCTAATGCTCAGGTGCAATGAGAACTACGTTTGTACCTTCATGTTTCCTTTTTTCGTAACACTAAACCTAGCTTACCGATTTTACTAAAACACACATATAAGGGCACCAGTTTCTTTTCCTTATTTTGAAATCAGAGATGTCTTCACTACGGAAGAAAACAGTTTTTCTGCTGTTCTGTTTTAGATAAAAGCCTAGACCAGAAAGTTCAGATCAGTTCTTGACTTCCCATTTTCTTTTGGAGTTTATCAGCAGCATGCGTCAGTAGAGTCCGTTAATTCACATGCAAGAAAGGCACCAAGTGTGGGAATTAGATAACCCAAGTGAAAGAAACTCAAGACTTTGTAAGGAACCCTTTCGCAGAAGTAAATAAAAGGACTTTGGCTTTTGCAGGGTGAGATCTATAATCATTAACTACATTGAGTTAGAAAAACTGTTTTGGCTTCAGACAACTCGACAGGAAGGTAATGTCTTTTTCTATGAGTGTAAATGAAATAAAGGAAGCTTGTCTCCAGCAGGAGTAGTGAGAACCTACAGGTAAAGACTTCTAGTGAAGATGTTCCAGGTAAAATCTTGTGGATCCAGACACATGTTTTGATCCTGATGACTTCTCAGCTTCATTCTCAGTCCTCTGCAGTTTTAAGGATTCTCCAGAACCAAAAGATGGGGTATGCAATTTGTATTTATTTGCTGAATGAAACTAAGCCATGTACTCAGCTTCATGGATTGCCTTTGCCTGGATGGTTGTGACATGACATCAGGAATCTGAACCCCTGGGAATGCTCTGCGCATCAGTGGCCCCATGTGTTGCACAAAAAAAATCGGGGGTGGGAGGAGGAGCATCCTCAGCATTTGGCAGGAAAAAGAAGAAGCAGTGCTGTGAGCAGTGCTGAACTCAGGAGAGAACTGGAGAGAGACAAAGGCTTTGTGTCGCTCCTAGTGTACGGTCCTCTCTATGCCGGGACAAGATGGTGAGCAAGAATGCAGTTACCAGCCACCTGCCCAATCCTTCTGATCTAGAGGGGAGAGAGGTGTTCTGTGTGGAGGAAGAAGAAGCATGAGGATGGAGTCAGAACAGGATAAATGAATGAGAGGAGGTAGGAGGAAGGATATTGGGAAGATGGGTGGAGGAATCACTCCTGGCAGGAGAGTTCATGTGGGAAGCTACTGCAGACTAGATCTCAACTCGCACCATGATTTGCTTCATGAAAGCATACCCTGTAGAACACGGGCTGAAATTTAAGGCTGTCTTCCTCTTCAGATTTGTCCTTTTGTTCTTCTAACATGGAATCAGCTTCTCAGGTTTGGGTTGGATGGTATGTGACTAGACATAAATGCTTCTTTAACACCAGATGTGATTTTAGGCTGTGTAACAGCTAGCTAGAGAGAGGACAATTCATGGCACAAAGATCAGTAGTATTAATTCCTTTATTGCCCATACAGGGAGACTAAAATTAGAGGTGCTGATGGATGTTATAAGTTCACAGCCTAACTGAACCACAAACAATGGGATCCTTTACTTAGTTGCTGCTGTTCAGAACCATGTCTGTCTGTTTAACTGCAGGGATAACAGTAAGAGTATTTTACTGTTTCAGATGACAGTAGCAGGGAAAGGAATTCAGTTCCTTTCCAAATTGCCTGAGCAAAGGACACACTGTTGAAGGTTTAGTCACCTGCCTGTCAAGGGCTGGTAGGGTAAGGTGGACAAACTGGAAAAGCCAGTATTGCCCAGCTGAGAGCTGCGTTCCACTACCAGCACACCGATACTTCCTCCGCCTCCCGTTTCTCTGTAGCTAGTGCAGATGACGTTATTTGTCCTTCCAAGGAATTTATCTCGTTTATTAGTTCTTTGAGATCACTCCCGCTGAAAACTATCCCAGCCCTTGCTGTTACTGTCTCCAGCCTCATACCAGAACTGCCACTGACCATAACTGCAGCTGAAACCAGAAGGAAATGAGTTGCCTCCATGCTTGCTTCAGAGACAGAGGTCCTCATGCAGAGACAGAAGCTATGAAAACACAAAGCTCTGGTCAGGAGCATGAGAGTATTGAACTACAAGAAGATCATGTGGAGGAAAGCGTGGCTGATCATAACAAGCCTCTAAATTCTCAGCCAAGAAAGGTAGGAATTTCACTTGTTCATTTGACCCTTGCTGTTGAGGAAAATACCACACAGCAAGAGAAATGACACTGCAGGGATATCTTGTAGGGGTTGTTTAATTTGTTGCTTGTAGGAGAGGAAAAGGTTATTCACTTGAAAGTAAAGGCTGAGAATCTGTTAAATGTATTTTTTTTCTTCTTCTCCTCAGTGAAGTATTGTAATATTGTGTAAGATTTTAAGCTTTTTATTATTTGTGCTTGGCTGTTTGTGAACTTTAACTTAGAAAATTAAGTTGTAATTGGTACTCTGTTTCACTTTCTTTTTTCGCATGCTGGCAGTGGGATTTGGCTCAAAACCAGAATGAAGAAAAGTTGAAATCCATATTTAAAATCTGGTTTGCTTTCAGGAAAAAAAAATAATTGGAAAACAGGCTGCCAAAATAAGAATAGAATGTCCTGCTACAGATCATGCTGGATTCTCTCTCTTTGGGTAGTGTGTAGTTGCTAACAACTGTGAATTTTTCTGAACAGCATACCCCAAAGCCTCAGTTAAGATGAGTCTGTGAGTTCTGGGGGAGCTAGTTCCCAGAGTCTAGCTTAAAGCTGTGGAACAGACTAATGCAGGCAGAGGAGTAATGTATGCTCAGAGATTGACTGTTGTACAATGATATTCATTGCTTACTCAAGAGCAGAAAGAATCTCTGGCAGAGCTAAGAAGTTTCCCACTTTTCTGTAGAGATGGGTGAGCCCTTCCGAGAGCTTGTCTGTATTAATCACGTAACCACTCCCTTCCTACTCCCAGCAGAGCAACAGCCACTGCTTCCTTATGATATTTGCCTGCTGATTCAGTCCACCAGCTAGGCAAAAACCCCATTTACTCCATTGGATCGGGGGCCACTCACTTCTCTGGTCTGGTAAGATGAATCAGCTTGCTGCAGGGTCAGCCAAATTCTAGGGAGGTGTCAAGAGGAACAGGAGAGGGTGGAGGAGGGGCAGGGCTGAGCCAGATCCGCCTGGCTATCTTGAGAAGCTTTACTCTGAAGTTTCTGTTTAGCCTTCCTCTTCCCAGAACTGAGTTTTCATCTGGGGTCTGTTTCTGCCAGTTCTGGAAATTGGTTTCCTAAGCTACGAGGAGTGCTGGAAAACTACCATGCTCTGCTCGGGTGGCAGGTTAATCAGAATAACTACCCTGCCCACTGCAGAGATACTTTTATCTGCTGCTGCTGCTCCCTCTCAGCAGTCTTGCAATGCATATGGGCAATGTCCAGAGGGTGTTGGGATGGTTGGGGAGCCAAATAGTTGCTTGAGATCAAGCCTGGTTACTATGTGTGATTAAAAATCATATTTTTGTGATGGGTTAAATATATGGC